AGACACGTCTGATGGAGGCCTTGGCGTCCGTATTACTCCTGCGACCGTGATTTTGACTCCTGTCGACACTGATTGGATAACCCTCGGACGTATCCTGCACACATCGCCCGACTCTGAGTTGGCGATTGTTGCGTCGTGGTTCCTCTAATGCTTCAGACCGCTTTACTCTTTGATTCTTCCTCCGCTGTAGGTATTTCTCCGTCGACGGCCGAGCCCGGAAGTTCGGAGATAGGCTCGACCACTCCTTGCTGCTTTGTGCCATTGAAGAATTTTCTCTGCTCGGATCGCGCCATCTGGAAGAGTCTTGATGCGCCGTAAAGTTGAGTGGTGATCCATAGGGAGAAAATCAAGGGAGTAACGACTCGCCATACCCGTCCCCATCGGTCCCAGGAACGGTGCAAAAGGTAAATTGTGATCGAGGTTTCGAGGATGGCTCCGAGAAGGATCCAACCGAAACAGCCGTACGCCAGATAAGAGAGGAGACGATGGTCCTTACGTCTTACCCTCCAGAGGATCATGGACACGTAGATGGGGAGCTCGACCACCACGTCAAAGGCGCCTTGAAGAATACAACTGTCAGCTGACACGATAGATCACTACCGAGAAGGAAGGACGCCTACCCCAGACCATGCACATGTAAAACTCGATCGTTGCCTCCGGGTGCTCTACGAAGTTGCCAAACAGAGACAGGGCAGTCTGTGTGATGGCCAAGAGGCCAATGTGATGCGCGATACTGAGGGGACTGGCGAATTGAGTGCGGAAGCAGAGCTCGAAGACGTAGTAGGCGCTGTAGACCTGAGAGACGGTGAAGAGCATGTCACCGATTCGAAGGCGATGCCCCTGGACCACCGGGGTCCCCAATCCAGCGGTTCCAGTCAAGAAGTGCATGACGGGGTAGATGCCGATGCACAAGAGAGCGAACATGATGATTGCGCCGACATGGTAGTATGTGAACGATCGGCGGCGCTTCTCGTTCTCTGGACGCTCCAAGTTCTTGTAGACCTCTCCGTAGACCATACGAAGAAGCCATCTCTCGAGGATGTTGGCGATCAGGACGACCACGACGACACTGGAGACCAGAAGCAGGGAGCCATATGACAGGAGCCCGGAGATGGGTCCGTTCTGAATGGTTTCGATCTTGGGCATGCCCCTGCCCTGGAGGGCTTCAGTGACAGACGCCATTGTTGAAAGCGGATTTTGGAAGGCGTCGAGTCGTTGATCGTGGCGTGTGCCATAAACGGATGTGTCTTACAGCTCTGGGTGAGGACCAAAGTATATAACAAGGACCATCGCCAAGACTAACGAGCAGGCACAGAGAGAAGAAGGGACGAAAATAAAACACCAAGGACGGGTGTTCGCCAGGAGCGCATCAGCGCTAATCTCGAAAGGAATGAAATGAGCGTTGATTACGAGCGTCTCACCGATCTAATAGCTCCTTGCGCCGTGAAGTTGGCTAGGTGTCAGGCGTCCTGGTGTGGTGGCCGCGGGATCCGTGCTTAAAAGCTTCGGCCGCCGATGCTCTTCAGACAGTTTTGTAAAACTATCGTTCATTATTGAGCGAGAGACAGGGCAACCGAGTCGTCTTGAAATGCAATCCCACCCCCGGTCCATTGAGCACGCCCGACCTGGCCTTACCTGAGCCGATCTTGCCCTGGTACCCCTGGCGACACCGGCGGCCCAATCATGGTAGTCTGAATCTTGCCGTCAAACCCGTCTTAGGGGGTGGAACGTTTGGTTTGGTCGCGTTACAAAGGTGGAACAAAGAGTATGCGGGGTGATTGTTTCTTTTTGGGGCCCTGGGTCTGCCGCTGCACGGCTCTGATGATCCACGAACGGTGTTCTCGGCACCCGGCACCTGGGGTGAAGACCAACACAACAATACCACTGCGGGCAGGGCTGCACGACACACACACCCACACAGGTGCTCTGTACTGTGTCGCGTGTCCGCTGTCCGTCCGACCAGATAAAACCGACGTGTCTGGTCTGCGTCCCAGGGAGGTTTAGGCTTTTCTTTCCACGCCGACATCAGAGGCCAAGACGCCAGACCTGCGTGGAGACGAAACTCAAGAGAACGGCTGGTGCGGGTTGTCCGATGTATCTTTCCTGTTTGAGAGGGCAGCAGATCTTGTTGCCTGGAGTCCGCTAGAGTTTTCGCTACCTGGATTGCAAGTGTCATCGAGAGAGACGGCAGAGGCATTTTGCCTCGGGCGCAAACCTCGCGTGGGGAATCTCAAATTACGCCTACACACGAGATCACGTGGGACTGAGCTGTTTTTAGGTCAAAGAGACACGCTGGGAATGCAAATGCGGCACAAAGGGGGGAATGGCGGCTAGGCGTACCTGGCGGTTCTAGCGTAGATCATGATCTATCGGCAGTGGCTGGCTGCCTCAGCTTTGCCTGAAAAGGTTTAAGTCGGTGCCGGTTCCCGAGCCCGAGCTAGGCGGTGCCGAAAGCCGGGACTTGGGCCCGTCCGACTCGTGGATCTTTTCTGGTGGTCAGTCAGCACCCGAGCTGGAGAAAACAAATAAGGGGGCTCCGTCGAAAAGGTCGCCGCCGGTGGACGGACGATGAGCATCAGTAAGGGGGAAGCTAGCGCATCTGAGTGGGATTAGACGCGGGACTAAGATGCCGTGGGAAATGCGGCGCGCGATATAACGCTCATGCTACTGAAGCCCACGGACACAGGGAACACATGTCAATCAACATAAATCTCTCGTCAGCATCCTTCCAATGACAGCCCGGGGTTCCGCAGTCTCGCAGTCTTGCTGTCATTGTCCGAAGTGAAGCAGCTCAATTGGTTCTACCTGATCGTGAAAACATCCGTCTGCCATTACGAAGCACCGGTGCCGTTGTCCAGTAAGGTACCTCAAAGTGCCCTGTGCACAGCTGATGATGGCCTAAGCAAAACACGTCTTGATAGTCGAAGCCACTTTCGCGTTGATTGTGTTTGCGTTTCGTGATTCTGGAGTCCTCAAATGCCGCTCAAGTTCATGTGTGACCCGCTTGAATAGTTCACTCGTTGGATCTTTCATGGCCGGATTGCTCTGTATCGTCTTCTCCCATTCAATCTCTTGCCAGTTGTAATTGGTCCGGTACTCTGCCTCGCGATTCACCGTCTCCCAGACAACGTCAGTCACTCGACCCTTAAGGTGATCCATAAGCTTGGTATTCGCATCTCCTCTGCGATACTCGGCAACACTCGCCAGAACCCCATTGATGTTGGCCAAGTGACGCGTGGTTGAAATGTCGTTTGTGACGCCCACAATTCTTCCTTTCTCAACCGCGTAGCCCAGATCGGTCCAGACGCCAACGTAGGTTTTTCGCCCGTCTCTGAGTCTTCTGAACCTATCATCCTTCTTGGGCTCGTTGATAGACGTCGATCGCCATTCGAACGTGGCTGTCATGATGTCGGTGACTGAGTTGAGGGTGAATTCCCACTTTGACTTGATATCGTAGATTGTAGGCGTGGGAGTGGCGCTGCCCGTCTCAATGTAGCTGACGAACTCATTGTATGTGCAACGGTTGCCGGTGCCAGTGCCCCTGCAGCCTAGCGCTATGTAGCCTTTGCCCACACCAAATACCTCAACATCGAGTTCGTAGACTGTGTAGAAGTACAGCATGTCTGCAGCGTCGATGAGTGTGTAGTCGGACTCGGCACATATTTGTGAAACAAGGCCCACGACTGCTATCAGCAGTGAGAGCTTCATGGTATTCTGATATGTAAAACCCGGCTTGTTAGTGGCTAAAGAAATGAAATGGATGCCCGAACATACCAGTGGAGATTGTGAGTGCTCTGAAGACCAGAGCGACCTGGTAAAGATGCCTATCAAGGTATTGGCACGATTTGATATCAACGGCAAGTAAAAAGATTGGTAAATCAAGCTAAAGCCCTTGACGTGAGTACCTATGTTGTCATGTAAAGAGGCTTCTTTCAAGGCTGCAGGTGGAGAGGTCAGCCAAACATACACTTCCGGAGCTGGTCGTGAGTCTTATCAGAAGCCAGCAGCCTTTCCAATGTGATATCCTCGGGACTGTTCAAAGACCGAGAATAAATGCTGGCCGAGTTTGTTCATGGAGGTCCTCGGTCGTTCTCTTTTCCAAAGTCCTTCCTGGGGCTCAGGCCAAGCCGGGTCAGACGGCTTCCTCTTGAACACGAGATGCGGGATATTTTGAGCAAAAGAACATCTACATCCTGATCTAATTTTGCAATATCGCGGCCAGAGTGTAAGTGACTCATTTGAAGGTGGCACATTACAATCACTTGACTGCCTACAACATTCCTAATCCGACGTTAGTCTGAACAAGCTATTGATCGAAGGATCCTCGCAGGGGTCGAAGACGCAGCCCATTGAAAAAGGTGTGTGTGATAAGCTTAATGACAAGCATGCAAGGCACGCGATCGTGTGATTCCGCCGCGGGAAGTCACAGTCTCTGGAGATGGTCCCTGGTCTCTTGGCGGGCGGCCGACCGCCAAGACGGCGGAATCATCCCTGCATCGAAGCGCCAAGTCCTGCTAAACACCAAAGTCCAAATCCTGTCGGCCGGCCAGCTCGAAGAAGCACTGGTTACACATGGCTAAAGCCAGCAAAAACTCATCCAGATCTGATGTCTTGGACGAAAGTTCCACCAAGTTAGGGGAAAGGATGGCGGGATGTGGGTTCGCCTGGAGCGGAAGACCGGAATACACGGCTCGGTCAAGCTATTGCCAAGAGATAGGCCTTTCTGTGTCAGTCGAAATTGAACATGAAGGATCAAGAATGAGTTGGGGGCGAGAATCCCATGGAACCAAGGTAGAGCTCGTGAATGAAGTGAGGGTGTGAATGAGCCTGGATCAAATGGTCCGGACGTGTATCGTCAAATGACACTTTCTCAATACCCTCATCATCTATACTAATAGCTTGCACGTCTCATCCCTAAATATGGCTAGCACTTAGCCTTGCTATTCGAGTGGAAGACTTGATTTCTGACGTAGAGTCATTGAGGTTCCTCGATGGGCACGATGCAGTCTTTACCAAGATTTCTCAAGCTGTTACTCCTGTGGCTTCTCCTGGGCCCGTTACTTCGGACACTCGCTTATCCTTATCATCATAATCGTTCGAAAGACCATGAAGACGTAGGAAGTTTCAATCAGACACATTCTTTCGCGGACTTCGGCTACAGTCACATCATATCCAGAGCGGACAAGCCGGAGCTCAGAATCCTGCCGTTGGGCGCCTCCATCGTCTTTGGCGTCGGCTCAAGCACAGGCAACGGGTGAGTGATACTAGGAAAGACTGAATCTAAGGAGTATGGATTACTGATACGAGATCCTCAGCTTTCGGAAGCCTCTTCGTGATGCCCTCCGATATGATGGCTTTGAAGTCAACATGGTCGGCACCAGGCACAATGGTAACATGCAAGATTGGGTATAACACTGAGCACTATTATTTGTTTACTCAAAACGCTGACGGGAGTAGGATAATGAAGCAACATCTGGTGCCATCGTCAGTGAGATCCGCTCATACCTGAAAGGGTCTCTCGCCTACAAGCCCAATGTCGTTGTCATCAATGGTGGCACGAACGACTGTAACAGAAATATCGACATAAACAACATTGGCGAGCGCATGAGACTAATTTTGAATGATATCTGGGGCGCACCTGATATGGCAAACACATGGTAATCCAATTGAACGCCCATTATAGATCAAAGACTAATCTGAGTAGCGTAATGCTTTCTACCATCCTTCCCACAGCTGATGCAACCGGAGCTCTCAATCGCATCACTGCTAATCAGCAGTACCGACTTCTCGCTGAGCAGCTTGCTGCTTCTGGAAAGTGCATCTACATGACCGACATGGACCCTGACGAACCCAACATTGCTCACAATTGGATTGCTTTGGAAGCTGATATCGGTGGTGATGGAATCCATCCAAAGTACGGAACCCTGCCTGATTCTATCGGCAACAGTCACTGACACTGAACTAGCGACCAAGGCCACAAGAAGATGGCCTCTGTGTTTTATGATGCAATCATGAAAGCTGTCTCGGATGATAAGATCAAGAACCCCGCTGCCATGGCGAAAACTGGCACCACCGGCTGCGATAAGACGTTCGGCAACGGCGTCTATGCTGGCGGGCTGACACAGCGGGGATCTGGCTGGGACGACGGGACGTACAAGCATGCCAGTGAGTATGGCGGGCTGCTCTTCTCTGTCACGAGCGATTGGGACCGTGATCAATGGCGCTTTGCACGTTTGTTCACCCGAAACCGAGACGACCTGCTGGGTTGGTTCGAAAAAAGCGCAGGAGTTCACGCGTATGATATGTGGAAGAACAACGGGAACGGCAAGTTTGACAAGATTGCGGACTTGGACCCAGATCTGTTTTGTAACCCGCGTGGTGTTCGGTTCATTGACATGAATGGTGAGAACTCTCGATTCGGTTGCTATTGTAATCTTACTGACATTTGCATAGCCGATGGACTCGACGACTTGGTTTGCATTGATCCCGATGGCAACTTATACCTTTCAATCAACCAGGGCGATGGCTCAGCCAGCAAGCCGCCAACCTTCAAGAGAGTCAGCACTACCGCGAAAATCAAAGACACCGAAGGCTTCAAGCAGGACCGTATTGTCCTGGCTGACATTGATGGAGACGGCCGAGGTGACTACTGCCATCTGGATGATGGGTAAGTGTTTATTTAAGATTAGCATGAACGCTTCACTGACGGCCTGTTGCAGAGGCAACGTCTGGTGCTGGCGCAATGGCTGGGTCGACGACATCCCCGAGTACTGGCAAGCTCTTGGCTTGAGGTTCACCGCCAAGGGTATGGGTGACGTTCACGGTGTCCGCTTCGAGGATATCAATGGCGATGGTAGAGACGACTGGCTCTGGGTTGATAACGATGGTCTGACATACACCTGGACCAGCGCCCGAAGCTGTGCTTCCGGCACACTCGGCGATGGTCTCAATGTTGCATGGCGTCAGGGTTTCAACGGCGATGCTACGAGCGGTCCAACTCATATGGGCATGGCCAATTTCGGCAAAAAGGACACCAACATCCGGAATCGCATTCACTTCGGGAGGATATTCGGGGAACCTCAGGCCTTCAGTCTCCTGGGGCAACAAGACTACATCTACATGGAGCATTCCAACACGACGGACGGCAAGCACAAGTTCGACATTCACGTCTGGAAAAATGTGGCTCGCGGTGGTACAAAGCTTCTCGCGGATGGCAACAAGTACTGTAACATGCTCGGGCATGCCGATGGGCGGATGGACTATGTCTGGGTTCTGTCGACGGGACGAATGACTCTGTATCCCAACGCGGGCAAGTCACAGATTTCTGGGGACGAGTCTTTCTGGGGACCGATGACGGAGGAGATCTGGTCTCCCCAGAAGTGGATCTTCAAAGACGCCGACCGTCGCGATCTTCACCTTGTTGACTGGGATGGAGATGGTGCTTGCGACATTGTCTACACCGATCCTGACAAAAACAACTCTCCGCAGGTTTGGCTCAACACTTATCCTCTGACTGGACGCTGGGACTGGACCTACGTAGCCAACCCTGCTCCCCAGGTTCAGTGTAACGAGAGAAAGGGACTTGGAATCCATGACTGTAGGTTTCCCGTTATAATTGGGACTTAGATATGGCAAAGGCTGACATTAGATAGTGGCTGTCCGATTCGCCAACATTGATGGCGGCAAGAGAGGCGACTATCTGTGTATCAAGCCGAATGGCTATGTCTCAGGTTGGGTCCACAAAGACGACGGTACATGGGAAGATGTCGGGCAAGTCAAGTTCGAAGAGGGCAAAGACCGTGCCAACTTGAGATGGGCTGATGTCAACGGTGACGGCAAAGACGACATGCTCTGGGTCGATAAGTTCAACGGCGACGGCTACGTGTGGTACAACGGCGGCCGTGGGAATCGTGGGGACCTTGGAGGATCTCTCTACTTTTGGAGAAAGATCTCCGACCCTGTCTACGACGGAAATCATGCTGGAACCTGCATGTACTATCCCGACTTGGATGGCAACGGTAGAGCAGACATGCACTCGATCATCGGGACTTTCAACAACCAGGCGGAGACTTGGTTCAATCCTTCCTGCGCCATGACTGATAGAACTGGAGACGATGGCGATATTGGGAATCCCAACTTGCCCGTGCAGCCCGGATCTAGTAACGGTGGTGGCGGTGATGGCGGCGACAGCAGCGGTGGAGAGGACTACGACCCCGATCCAGACGATGACGACACCCTTCCTGTGTGCGACGAGACCTTCGACAACTTCGATAAGTTGGTCGAGGCCTCAGGTGATATCCCTGATACGTGCGCGGCTCAGTATGTTCTCCAAGTTGGCCAGGCCACACTCCAAGCAGCTGTCAAACGCTACGACGAGATCATGAAAGGCGACTACGACAAATACTTTCAGATTTACGCCGATTATCTGGTACAAAACAGTGCCGATACACTCGAGAAGTTCATGAGAGATAACGGCGCCGACTATTTTGACTGCGACGTTAGGGAGCAATACACTTGCTGCGCTGGCTGTGACAAGATCGGGCTCTATGGCGATACCTGCAAACACTGCGTCGACGAGTGCCCCATCAAGAGCCCATGGGGAGATGCCCAGAACGTTTGGTGGGACACCTTCGCCGAGACCTGTCCACCCAACGAGGACTTGGGCATCGGAACGGTCAAGGACAAGACCATCTTCTGGAAGCTGCGTGAAAAAGACAAGAACAACTTCTGGGGCGAGGTCACGGCCACGGTGGGAGCCCCGGAAGAGAAGCTCCCGATCGTCCCGCGACAACAGATTGTCCAGTGGTCTGAATCGACCGACATGTCTTGCGTCATCGCTCAGTCTCGGGACCCAGACAACTTGCCCGAGAATTGCTACAACACGAAGCATTGGTGCGATGCTCCTATCGTCAAGAACTTCAAGGCCTCAGATGTCGTCAACCCAAAGGAGGTCGTCCAGAAGGCCTTGGGGGACTCTAGTGTCCTGATAGACGCCCTTGCGGCCACCTTGATGGAGATTAAGACGTACATGTACACCGACGACACCATAGATGTGTCTGATGCCGTCATCCTGCCGATTCTCATGATCCAACACTCTCTCAGCAGCATGGAAGACGTTGTTGAAATGGCCAAGGACATTGAGAAGATGGAAAAGACGAATTTCATCGTCAACCTTATTTCGTCTCTGCTGTTCGTGCTTCCGGTCGCTGGCGAGGTCCTCGGCACGATCGGCCTGGCTGGGTTCGGGCGCGCTCTCATCTATGTGAGCGAGGCTGGAAACGCCGCCATGGGCATATACAGTGTTGTGTCGGAGCCCAAGTCCGCTCCTCTTGCTTTGTTTGGGGCAATTATGAGCGTGAAGAGCATTCGCAATGCTAACAACATGCGCAACGCTGTAAAAGCACGGCGCGCAATGGGCAAGCAGGACATCGAGGGGTTCAGCAAAGTTATCGCCTCAAAGTTGGAGGATTTAGATCGCATGGCAGCTAGGGGAGAGTTGAGGTTGTGTGGTAAATGAGCTTGAGGCGTTCTCGTGACCCAACCCGACCCCTAGACCTTTTCGTTACCACTGATTCCTAGATCAAAGACTCTACGAATGTACTCTCTCTTGTACGCCTTGCATGGGATGTAGCCAGTCGAAATCTTCTCTGGATGGTCACCCGAACCACCTCAAATCTTTCCTTGAAATCCTCCCGAAATTCCCCCTCAAGTTCCTCCTCAGACCCCTTGCAGACCCTACTTCAGACCTCTCCTCAGATCCCTCGTGAGATGACCACTTTAACAACAGTTGAGGGCCTTGCGAGCCTCCTTTGGATCTTTATAGACACCGTACATGTGGAAAAATGTTTTCTTCTCCTTGTTGAAGTAATCGTTGAACTTCTTCTTGTCGTCGCCGTCGCAGATATCGAGAACAGCTTTGGCAGAGACTTTGAGTTCGAGGTACTCGTTGTTATGGATGATGATTTCCATACATTCGCCTTGACCTCCATGATACCTGCTGATGTTGTACTCGCCGGCATGGGTGGGATTGGGGAACGGTTTCGAGCACCATTCAATCATTTCAGGGACCACGTCATTGAGCTGTACCATGGCGTACAGCTTCGTTCCCGGGTTGCACCTCTTGGGCACGGAATCAAGCTCAATGATACATTCGGGGTCATCGTAGGGGCCCGTGTCCTCAATGTCGCGTCGTGTGACAAAGTAGATCACGTTTCCTTCGCCATCGCCATCACGTTTGACGAGCTCGCAAAGCTCGACACAGTACAGGTCGTACACACGGTGATTGACGTTGACAGGCGTCTTCGCGTTCGGGGCCTTAGATTTGACGATGTCGCTGATGGCAGCCTGGATCTCGGCGACCTTGGCTTTCTCGTTCTCTAGGATCCCTGGAATAGCTCCTAGTGCCCTCGCCTTTTCCTGGTCGCATTCCCACTTATATATGCGTTCCCTCCGCTTGACGGCATTGCGCTGTCTCTGAAAATCCAAAAAACCCTCGTTCAAATCGTCTTCGTCTTCGTCGTTGTAGCATCGTACAATCAACTTGGTTTGCTCGCATTCGCAATGTTCCGGGTCTTCGTTGCAATCGCACTGCCATTCTGAGAGATCGTCCGCATCCTCATCCGTAAAAATGTGGTCAGGCGCATCATCTCCCATGTTCCACCCGAACCATGAAGTCTTGTTCACACGAATGTACCAAGCTGGAGGATCCTTCACGAACTTGGTGAGAGGACGTTTCTTGCGTGGTTTTTTGCCCCCCGGCGCCTTCTTCTGAGACTGGCTGCTCTGACGCTGATCGTCCTGGGACTGGTTCTGTTGAGGATTGCTGCGTTGAGGCTTATCATTTTGAGCCTTGCTGTTCTCGGCTTGCTGCTTCTGGAGGCGCTTTTTCTGACGCTGACGTTGATTCTTTGCGCGGTTTTTGCCCACGGGTTGGCTGCTTTGAGGTTGATTGCCTGAAGGTTGATTGCCTGAAGGTTGATTGCCCGAAGATTGATTGCCCTGAGTTTGGTTGCCCTGAGATTGGTTGCCCCGAGGTTGGTTGCCCTGGGGCTGGTTGTTCTGGGCCTCGTTGCTCTGAGCTTGCTGCTTCCGAAGCTTCTTGTTGAGACGATAGCGCTGTTGACGTGAAAGTGATTTGCGCTCAGGTAGACTTTCAGGAGCATTGCCCTCCTGATGCTGGTTTTCCAGGTCCATACTGGCGGGGAACGAATGTTGTTGGATGGTTTGAGCTGCGGATAGGGTTAGGGAAACGTTCAATGGTCCATGGATGATGCGCAAAACACCCCTTATTCGTACTTACGCCAATTGTGGGGCGAGACCCGGCGCCTGGAAGGCGAATTTTGCATCCGACACTAATCCCTGTCAGATCAGGAACCAAGCTTGCTTGGGCGGCAAACAGATTGGTGGAGCCTGGAGGGAGCTGTGGCCGCTAAGACGGATTTACGAATATTTGAAACAATGCATTCTGTCAAAGCTACGGCTTATCACGAGGAAGTCGAGTCCGGCCGGAGCACCGGTAGACAACACTGATCAAGGCAGGTCCTGCAGCGTGAACACCAGGTACCTTATGGCAGAAAATACTGAACAACCTAACAAGGTCCCCCAAGAATATTGTGCAGAATAACCAAAGACGGTACTTGCAATCCACCTCAAAGCGTGCAGAATATTGGAAACTGCTCCACGGCCACCCGCATCTCACAGATTTACCATTCGCTGTACCTAGAGTCGTAGTACGCCCCCATGGGATGGTTTCTCTCGAACCAAGTGTCCTTCGGCGAATCCGGCGACCGCGGCATTTTCGCCTCACGTTTGGTTTCCACAAGATCGCGCTCTTTTTCCAGCTCCATGACTCTCTCTGGAGTCCGCAAGGCGCCGTAGAAGGTGAGATAGGGCGTGTTGTTTTCGAAGTAGTCCACGAGCCTTTTTTTGTTGTCCGGATCCAAGTAGCGGCGATTCTTGAGAAAGGCCTTGGAGTGGATTTTGATTTCGAGGTAGTCCTGGTTGTGGAAGGTGATTTCCATGGGAGCATCTTTCAGTCCCCACCTGCCGACGCTGTATCTGCCAGCGTATCTGGGGTTGGGGAAAGGTTTTGAAGAACAATACTCGATCTTGTCTAGTTCTTCGAATATCATGAAGGCACAGAGGTCCGTTTCCATGTGCTCCGTGGGCTTGTCGTCTCGGAGTACGCCCATTCTGGGATCCTCCACCTCGTTTTCCTCGTCCCTAATCTCCCAGTCGTCGTTGAACCAGATTCCGGGGGGAAGAATCTCACTACGCTGCGTGAGTTGACACAGCTTAACGCAGTAGAGATCATACGCGCGGTGATAGATGTTGATGGGTGTCTTGGTATCCGGTACCTTGGAGTTCTCGATTTCCCTGATAGCCGCCTGGATTTGGGAAACCTTGGCGATCTCATGCTCCAACACCTTTGGCGTCCGTCCCCGCGCTTCCGTCTCTTCTCTTTCCTCCTTAAACCTCTCAAACCGCAGCTCCCGCTTGCGCTTATTGCGAGTCTCCACAAGCTCGGGGAAGTACCCATCATCTTCATTGCCACGTATTTTTAGTTGTGGCTGCCTACATCTGCAGTCTGGCGGATCCTTGTTGCAGTCGCACTCCCAGTCCGAGAGATCTTCGTCGAAGAACCTTTTGGGAAGGGGTTCGTGTTCTTGAAATGTCCCCATTCGCTCGTGTTCCCAGCGCAACGCGCGGACATACCATGGCGGATATTGTTGCAGAAACTTGGTGCGAGGACGGTTTCTGCGCCGTTTGTTGGCCTTCGGCGCCTTGTTCTGAGGCTGGGTCTTCTGAGGCTGAGCTTTCTGGAGCTGAGTGTTCTGATGCGGGGTGTTCTCAGTCTGTGTCTTCTGTGGCTTGCTGTTCTGCGGCTTGCTGTTCTGCGGCTGGCTGTTCTGAGGTTGGCTGTTCTGGTCCGCGTTGCTTTGAGCCTGCTGCATCTGCTGCATCCGCAGCTTCTTATTACGACGATAGCGCTGATTACGTTCCCGGTTCTTTCCCGGAGGCTGGTTGCTTTGAGGTTGATTGCCCTGAGGTTGGTCATCCAAAGGCCGGCCGCCCTCAGGCTGAGTTTCCTGGGCCATTTTGTCGGGGGATGAGCTACGTGGTATGATGTTGCATGAGTTTGAGCTCCGTGAAGGGTTGCAGATGCGGAAGTTGAGGAATGGAAGGGAGCAGATTATCTACGCGACTGGAAGCGCAGACGCGACGTTACGTCAGGTCACCCACCTAGCGCGATTGGGCAGCAAACATTCCGCGAACACCGCGCGGGGATGATCAATCAGGAGCCGAGCAGCTGTGGAGAACGCCTCGTCCAAGCCACAGTAATTGGAACATTTTGCCAATAGAATCAATTGTTTACTTCACCAACGAACCCTAATTAAGTCGGTACCGAAACAAAATGTTGACTTCAGTTCTTAACATGAGAATAACCCGGCAGAGAATCTGCGAGCCGTTGTAGATGATAACAGTTCCTACTCTATTTACACAAAGACCTTTGAAATTTTGAAGCCTCCAGGAACCCTTGTCTGGAAAACGCCAGTCGGGTCGTACTTCGCTGCGACTTCCTTCAAAAACCTGACATTCTCCTCTCCATATGTTCTAATGGGGTCTTGCGCGGGATTAACGTAGTTCAAGTAACGCCAAGGGGTCGCCTTTCCGTTGGCTTCAGCAAAAGCCTCAAGCTCAGCAGTCGTGGCAGCCAGCTTCGCATGAGCCAAGGCCTCCTGCTCAGCGGTACGTGTCTGCACTTGGCCTAGCCAAATGATGGAGTCGTGCGTCAGCGAGGTTTCGAGTCCCAGCACATTGTTGCCGCTGCCCTTGGTTGCGAAATGCTTGGGCAAAGGCTGGCTGACGAAGGTGAGATGGAGATCCGGAGACGGGATGAGAGTCTGCAACTCGGCGAGCAGCTGATCATAGAGCTCAGCCATCTTCCTCATGATCTCTATGTCGTTGTGGAAGCAAAGTGAGAACCACACATTTCTGTATCATGATTAGCGGATGCACCGAGAACAATTTATCACGGGACTCACCTTGCACCACCAGCCATGGTGTGAGTTGTGATAAGTGTGCCATAAGTCTTTCTGCTTCGGTCGTCAAAGAAGGACGGCAGCGTTGCGAGAGGTGCGAACGAGGTGGAGTTCGATACGCCTGCAGTGTTGACAGCCTGGACGGCGATCATCGGCGCCGAAGTCTCGCTGGAGTAAGCAAACGTGACGACTTCGGTGTCATCCGGATGCTGCTCATTGGTGTCGATGAGGTTGACAAATTGCTTCATAACAGCATCCTTGTGCTCGTAATCCATGAAGATCAGGCCCCCGTAAAGACCACCGGGGGCAGCAGCAAATGTCTGCATATCAAAGCGCGTGACGATGCCGAAGTTGTTGCTACCACCCTTCAGCGCCCTGAATAGATCAGGGTTCTCGCCACCATTGACATTGACGATGGAGCCATCAGCCAAGACTACCTCATAGTTCTTGACATCGTCCGCTGCGAAGCCGCGGTTACCAGTGTGGAATGATGCGCCGCCCCCGAGAGTCAGACCTGCGACACCGACGTTCCCCTCGCGACCGCCAGTGACGGTCTGGCCGTATTTCTCAATCTCGGTGTACACCATGCCCCATCTCGCGCCGGCTCCAATCGACACAGTGCCCTTTGCAGAGGTTGAGTTACTGTCGCAAGAGGGCACTGCAGCACTTACACTGCAGTTCTTGTACACCACCGAGTTCATGCGGCTCATGTCGATGGTGACGCCATGGGCAACATTATTCGAGGTGAAGTGCGAATGGCCACCGCCACGAACGGCGATATCCCAGTTGCCGGCGGGACTTGTCTTGACGAGTGCCGACAGAGCCCTGGAAACCTCGTCGGTGTTGGTGGGTTGAATGATGCACCAGGGGTGGAGGGCCTGAGAGTCGGCAGACCAGTAGGAGGCGATGCTGGAATTGTACACCGAATCAGAGGGAAACGACACTCGGTCGGAGAGCCCAGCTGAAATCAGTGCATCGCACTGCAGGTCATCATGTCAGCAATACCGCTCAAGTCCATTAGATGTCAGCGACGAAGGAGAAAAGACATCTCATACACCTGTGTAGCCACTGGCAGGTGGGCCGAAGCCGACCTCTACCCGTGCGGCTGCGACGCAGGCCAGCAGCGAAGAAATGGCAAGCGGAGATGAGAACATCATTGTAACGAACGAGCGAGCGAGGGAAACGAATGAGTGGACTGAGGATTAAAGCCAACCTTACTCATGGTGACATCTCGTCGTTGGTATGGCGCATCGCTGCTTTTAAAAGCTTCCCGAGCAGTATCTCGAGTGGCGTTTCCAACCTCCACCAAACACTCCAAAGCAGTCATTGGAGTGCGAGGTAAAAGCGAAACCGAGGTGCATACAAAGGAGATTAGAATACGACCCTTGAAAGTCTACACCTGGGTTGCTCCGTCTTTCCTGAGATGGCAAACATTTCCCCTATAGAACTAAGCAGACGGGAGATATAATTAACCGAACACCCTTCTACACGACGTGCCACGCTAATGACAAACATTCGAGGAAGATATTCTTATGAACCCCATGCGATCTTGGCGAATATGTTGAAAGAAGAAACTCTGCTGGAAATTGGCCCCGAATTGATGGCCCTTGTGTGCGTGCTGGAGGCCTTCTGCATCGGGTTGGTGCTCCAGAATACAACTGGCAAAAGCTCCAGAATTCAGGACTCGGAGTGATTCCTATTGGACTCGGTTATGGCAAGCGATGTGTTGTGCCACCATCCTGCATGCGGTACCATAGGAAGACAGAAGATGAGGCCAGTAACTTGCACCAACAACAACATGTTGGTTGTTGACTGGGATAGATACGAGTCGCTCTTGGCATGCAGAAGCGAGGAGCCAAGACCGGTATATAATCAGAAAACCAGCCGTCTAATACACTCCATTACGTTAACAGCGTCCGCCCCCCCTTTTTACCGAAATTATACACGTATAATCCCTATATATATATAAAAATTTACTTAATACTATATAAATATTTATAATATAGTAATTAACTTATTCTAATAGCTTTAATTAATCTATTTCTATTAAATCTTATTATCTAAGGGTATTATTGAGTTTGTAGTTATGACGCAGCCCCCCTGCAAAAAGACTATAGTAAAATTCACCTTATACGTAGGTATAATTCTAGAAACACTATATAAGCACCTTAACTTATACCCTCTACTAACTAAGGAAAATAGTATAGAAACCCTATACGTTCCTACTAGTAAGTAAACCCTCTAAACATTATAAAGTTAAATATACACCTTAGCTAAATAGACTAGTAGAATAGTAATAGCGCTAGTTGCATAGTATAAGGCTAGTAGCGCTATATATAGTAGGGCTAATTATATTAGGGCTAAAAAGGTTACTAAAGCTTTTATAGCCTAGTAATAGCTTTACTAAACCTTCTAGTGAGGTGCTATAAATACTACTATAAGAGAGATAACTCCTTAACTAAAGAGGTCGTCTATAAATACTACTAAATAGAGATAACTTTTTAACTAAAGAGGTTATTATAAGAGGTTCTTATAGCTAGAAGTATAAAAAGCTCTACTACTATATATAGGGCTTATACTTTTCCCTTTTCCTCTTCTTTACTAACCTATAATAGATCCTTTATAATATCTATACTATATAAGGAATATAAGAATACTAACTTTACGCTAAGTATACCCTTCTTTAAGAAAATAGCTAAGACTATTACTATATAGTATAATATCTATATACTAAACAAAGCTTTTAAGTTTAATAAGTACTCTAACTCTAATTAGGAGTAGTTTATTATAGTAATATTAGATAAAGCTTTTAAGAATATTTCTAAAAAGGACTTTCTCTATACTATAATTAAGGTAATAAACACTCCTAATAGCTTTAAAGTAGAGGCTATATATATTTCTAGCTATCCTAAGGAGTAAGCTTTCTTTATATAAACCCTCTATAATATTAAAGCAGATATAGCTTAAGCCTAAGTATAAGCTTAGTAGAGGAATATTAGTAAGTATACTTTATACTAACTAATAGAGAGAGTGTTACTAATAATAATATAGCTACTTTAAAGGTGTTAGCTAGCCTAATTAAATAAGAAGATAATAATAGTGATAACTTATTTCTAAAGAAGCTACTATAGTAGATAGCAAAATAGTAATAGGGATAGTGTTAGCAATATAAGTAATATATAAGAGAGAGAATAGGTTAATAGTTTAGTAGTTAGTAATTAAGTAATTAAGTAATTATAAACTATATTATTACTAAAGTGAAGTTAAAGATAGTAAAGTTATCTAGTAGTATATATATAAGTGCAGCTAAGATTAAGAGAGGTAGTTAGAGACTTAAGAAGTTGTTAGGTTATGATTATATGACTGAAGGCTGTGTGTATTATCAGGAGGCGTGGAGTTAGGAGGTCTATCGCTCTAAGCAGGTAAAAATCATAGTGAACGGCTAGAGGCTATCTAAGGGTATTATAATACCTCTTAAATACTACTATATAGCTTAGTAAGTAGATAATAACCTTTCTAAGTATTATCTATTACTTATTACTAATAATATATAGAAATAATAATATATATAATAATTAATATAGAATACTACTAGAGATCCTTTTTAACGCTCTACTTTATTATTAATTAGGATTATTATACTTACTAAAAAGGTTTATTAAGTTACTACTACTAAAAAAGCTACTAAAGAAATTATTATTATTAAAACTAAACTTAAAATTAATAATTTAGTAATAACTAAGTTTATATTATAAAAAAAGTATATATTTATAGTCTTTTTATTATTATAAAGAGCTCTAAAAGTATCCTCTTACTAAAAAATAATAATAATATAGAGGAAGTAAAAAAAGGATTTATTATATATAATCTAATTCTAAAGTACTCTATTTTTATTAATACTACTATTTTAATTAAACTTAACTTTAGTTAACTTAATTTCTTATTAAATTACTTAATTTATAGATAATATACCTATAACTTTTTATTATAGCGCTAATAATATATTTATATTATTCTATAATATATTTAAAGAAGAGGATAATATAAATAATAAAAAACTAACTTTATTATAAATCTAAATTACTTATAACTTAATACTTAAAAATAATAATTTATTTATTTTTAATCTAATTATTAAAAATATTATATATAATAAATTTAATATTATTCTTATATTAAATATAAATAATAGAGATTAAGAGGTAAATAGTAATATTTAACTTAAAATAAAAATAGCTTATTTATATATTATAAAGAAAGCTAATATTATTATTATTATTACTTAGAGGAAGTTTATTAATATATCTAAACTAATATTAATTTTTATTTAAATCTATCTATTTATTAGAAAGGTTATTTAGCTAAATATTCTATAAATTAATATTATCCTCTTTTTTAAATAAGCTAAAAAGAGAAGTAAAGTTTACTTTACTATAAAGTAGTAATATAGTGCTATATTAATCTCTAGTAGTATAATAATTAATATATAAATATTTTAAAAAAGTAACTAAATAGGTATTTTAGTTAGTATATAAGAGGTAATTAATTATAAAGTTAATAATTTTATAAATATTAAGCGTTAGAAAGAGAGAATATATAAATAACTTCTCTATATATATATTTATTTAGAGTACTAAAGATATAAGAATAGTTTAGGTAATAAGAAGTTTAATTAGTACTATATATTAAACTAAAAGTATTATAAGATTAAATCTTATTATATAGAGAAGTAAGTAAAAGTTATTATAACTAAATAAGTTAGTATTAATAATATAGAACTACTTAAAGAACTACTTAATAAGATTTTTTATAATTAGTTTATAGAGGATTAGAAATACTAAAATAAAAAAAATAAGAATATTATTAAGATTAATAATAATTAATAGATAATAGTAATAATAAAAAAAAAAGCTAAAAATATTATACTTCTATTATTAAGGTTAAGATCTAGCTTAACTAATACTAATAGTAATATTATTATTAATATATATAGTAATATAAAAGTATTAGATTATTATTTTTAATATCCTAACTTATATATATAGTTACTATTATTAGTAGTATTACTACTACTATATTAGCTATATATAAATATTTTATAATATTTATTACTAACTTTTTTATTATTAAATATTCTAAGTATTTATTAACTAAATATTATACTCTTAATTTATTTATCCTTACTAATAGTACTAAATTTATTTTAAAAAGCTTTAGATTAAATAGCTAGCTTTATTAAGTAGTTTATATCTATTTATAATAAATAATATAATATTAATAAAAAGTTTAAAAAGAAGCTATAGAAATTATAATTAGTAGATAGTAGTTTATAAGTAATTTATAAATTATTAGATATTTAGTTTACTAAATAGGGTTTTACTTAATATTTTATTAAAAATATTAGGAACTTAATTAAATCCTTTATAGATAATAGCGCTTATTATAAAGAGTAGTTTAATACCCTCTCTAATATAATATCTTACTTTAAACTTTATTTAAACTATTAAGAATTAAAAAGAGATATTTATATAAGAATATATATTAGATTACTAAGAGGGATAATAATAGTATTAATTAAAAACTTTATAGTATTAGTTTTAAGTAAATTAAAGTTATTTTAATATATTAATACTTTAGTATTATATTAATCTATTAAATAAGAGATCTATAGTATATTAATTAAAGTTAGTTAATATAATAAGTATATATAGAGCTATTTACTATTAAATATAGCTAACTTTATAAATATTTTAAAACTTTTTAGTTTTATTTTATTATTACTATTATTAGTATTATAGATATTATTTATATAGTTATAAATTAAATAAAATAAAGTTAAATAAAGTAATAAGGATAATTAGATTAAAATCTTAAGTAATATATTATTAATAGAGATATATTACTTAGAAGAGGATAATAAAGAAGAGTAATATAATAAGAGTAGTATAAAATTTAACTATATATATAATTTTTTATATAATATATTTAACTATAGAAAAGTCTATTTATAGCTATAGATTTAATACTACTATTTTATATATATAAAAGTAATAAAATTACTATTATTTTAGATCTATAAATAATATACTTTAGTCTATCCTAATATTAGTTAGAGGTAGTTAAAATCTCTAACTATAATTAAAGTCTCTAATTATAATAATATATTATTATTATAAATTATTATTATAAATATTAATAATATATTTTAGCTGTTATATAGGTAAAATTAATATATATATATAGCTACTAATAAAAATAATAAATAATAATATATTTTTTATGTTTTAATATACTTATAGCTAACCTTTTAGTAATCTTATTAGCTATAATTATAGATTTAATAATTAACTATTATATAATAATATAATTAAGATTTATTATATATAAATATATAATAAAAATTTAGATTACTTATTAATATTTAATACTTATAGTTTATCCTCCTTTTTATAGTTTAATATTATTAAATATATACTCTATTTTATTAAAATTAATAAATAATAGTAGAAATAGTTCTTAATTTAAAGTAAATAATACTTAATCTCTATAGTATAGTTATATAGATATTCTATAAAATCCTAAGTATTATTTTTATTATTATTTTACTTTAAATATATCTTTTTAATATATTACTTTAGATTACTAAAATACTTTTTAATAAAGTTAAAATTTAGTGAATATAGAAGTAGAAACTTAAGATAGATATTTAATACTTAGTATAATATCTTAATTTAAGGTATATAATAGTAAGAGAGGTTATCTATAATAATAATAGAGTTTAGTTCTAGAAAATACTTATATTTTAGGATAAAATACTTTTATAATTAATAAAAGAACTTATTATTATTAGTTATACTATAATATATAGTTAAGTATAAGATATTATTTAATATAAAAGCTAGTAAGATTTATATATAAGAGTTTTAAAACTAATTAATCTTTATAGTTTAAAATATAATAAGCTTTTTTAGTATCTATTTAATCCTCTATATCTTAATATCTTTATTAATATTAAATTTATTAATAAATACTAACTAATTAAAGTAATATTATTATATATAATATAAATATTTATATTATAAGTTATTATTTTACTAAGTAGTAATAATTTTAAACTTCTTATTTATCTAGTTAGTTAAGTTTAATTATTAACTAATTATAGAATAATTAATCTAAATCTTAAAAACTTTATATAGGAAATCTTATATTTCTTTAAGAAATAGATTATTATAGTATTATAGTAATTTAAGAAACTTTATATAATATTATATTTCTATTTTTTATTAATTTTAGTAGTATTTCTTATATCTCTATATTTTATTAATAATATTATATTATAATCTATATTATTAAATTATTTATTTAATATAGTTAATAATACTTATTAGCTTATAAGTTTTTTAATTTTTAAATAGTAGTATTATTATAATTATTAATAGCTATAGATTTAATATTTTAAGTATTATTATATTATTATTATTACTTAGTATCTTTCTTAATATATTTAATATAATAAACTATAGATATATACTAATTAATAGTAAACTATAAATAATAAAATATAATCTATATAGTAATAAACTTTTACTTAATATTATAAATAAGCTAAGCTATTAAGAGATTTATTAATCCTATTAATTACTAAAATATTTATTCTAAAGAATTATATTAAGCTTCTTAGTATATTTATATATTACTTAGAGCTATATAAACTATATACTAAGTAGATATATAAAGTTATATAGTAAGTCTTTTTTTTTATTCTTTAGTAAATATTATCTTAATCTCTTATAATAAAAATAAACTTTTTATTAGTTAAATAGTATAAAGATAAAGTAACTAGCTAAGTTAGTAATATTTTAATAAGTAGATTAACTACTATAGAAGTATAAAATATATACTTTATATCTCTATTATATAGTTATATATTTAAATACTATTAGGACTATAGTAATTAATAGTAATTAAGGTATTAGTAATAATTTTAACGTATTTTATATATAATGTAGAGAAATATATATTATAGCATAAAATTAGCTTTTTTTTATGTTTTTGCATAAGCAGGGAAAAAAAAGGGGGGCAGATGCTGTTAACATAACAGAGTGTATAAGCGATAGTTATCATAGTGATCTCACAGTTTAAGGTAGCGTGGTATTAAGATTGAGTTTAGCGCCTAAATCACAGGTAAGTTAACATACTATATTAACAAACTGAGATGTATTTGGCGCAGAATCATAGTAGTTGATACTAAGCAATGTGCGGTTGACTTTTATGTTGGTGGATAATGGGAAGAGATCTCGCTTCTGTTGGTAATTTACATTTTCATGGACCTACGACATGGTGGCCCACCCATGAAGTGAAAGCCAGGGCTGCCCAACGGCTTTTTTCAATTCGTCAGATATCCAGCAAATACAAGGGACGGGTCTCGGGGATACGTCCGGCTCCAAAAATTAACTGCTCATGGAATGTGCGCTCCGGTCCAGGCTTACAGGGCTCGTCGTCAGTCTGGACTGCAATCACAGGAACCAACAACCTTGCCTGTACTTAGCGTATCCGTACCTGCTTGATGATCGCAAATGATATCCAGAAAACTGGTCTTTTTTAGGTCGGTTACTTCATGGAACACGCTAGTGCCAGATCTTCCCTGTTCCTCCGATCCTCGTTCATCACATTGTGGCTACTTGATTTCAACCTGTTCCGGGGCAGTTGAGAATATTCTACTCCACGCGCTTACAAGATTTCGTATCACATGCAGGAACTCCTAATTAAGGATCAGAAACAATTGCTCTGCACGGATTGCTGCTGGAGAATGACTGGATATCTCCATTGATCAGTGGCTCAATGCCGACGTTGGGCCCTGCTATTGACTCGCAGTGCCTTTTTTCTGTCTACTGTCTTTCTACGTGTCTGTCTTCCTCTTCCTCTCACACACACGCTGAAACCTCTCGAGCTTTCTCCATGTCTTTCTTGCTTCACACTGGTAGTATTGAACTCCCTAGTTACGACTTTGCAAGGCAAAGACTCCCCGACTCCATGATGGGCGGCGAACTCACTCCAAGCCTTCTTCAACAAGACGAGACTACCGCACCCCTGCCGCTACCGATTAACTATGGCGATCCCTCTGTACTCATCAATGCTCCTGGGTGGTCAATGCTCGCGCTTTCGACAACTTTCCTTTGCCTTCGAGTCTATTGCAAAGCCTTCCGAGTGCGGTGGATGGTGTGGCTAGATGACTGGCTCTTGATCGGTGGGTGGGCCTTTCTCGTTGCTTCACAAGCTCTCTTGAGCGAGCTGATGCGACTTGGGTTCGCAAGGACATACAATGTTACGCCAACGATCAGCACCGTCATCTACGCATGGGACAACTGTCACAAGCTTTCCCTCGCGCTGACGAAGACCTCCTTCGCCGTAACATTACATCGGATTGCCTCCTCCTGGCAAAGATACATCATTTGGTTTCTGGTCGGGACCATGAACGTTCAATTCATCGTCCTTACCTGGAGGGCAATATGCCGACCGACCCGACCTGGAGATACGACACCTCATCTGCCGGTATCATGCTGGCGCTCTGAAGACGCAATCGCTCTTGGGATCTTCGGTGGCTGTAAGAGATCCCTGCTTTACGGCTACTTGCTGTTGGAGATACAACTCGCTGACTACGCTAAAGTCTATTCTGCCGCTTCCGACTTCATCCTCGCCCTACTGCCGTGGAAGATTGTGATGGGACTACAGATGAAAAAGCATGAGAAGATTGGAGTGGCTATCGCCATGAGTATGGGAGTACTGTACGTTATGATTGTCGTGAAGAATATCTCAGACTTTTGAGGTTCTAACAGAAACAGCGCCGGAGTCATGGGTGTCATGAAAGCCGTTCAGAGCATCATCATGCTAGATACATCAGCACCAGACTGTGAGTTCTCTTTCCATTACCCAGAGTTGCTTGGCATACAGACCTGTTCACGCAATAATGTGCTAGCTGCAGGCGTTCACAGAAATTGCTGACACGGTATGTGATTTAAGTGTTTTGGAAAATTTGCATCATGCATGTTTGGGCCATGGCCGAACCGAATGTCACCATTATTGCCGCGTGCATCCCTGTCCTTCGAGTGCTATTTCGACACATCCGTAGTACCCGCGAAGCGGAATATCCTTCTTCAGGGGCCTACATCAGATCAGACACCCTGAGCAAGTTTCGAAACCAAGACATACAAGGTGGCAGATCAAGAACCGCCCGTAATCAAGACGAAAGAGACGACGGAGACAGCGATCGCAGCATGCTACCCCAGGGCATCATCAGGACCACCGAGGTAACGGTAGATTATGACAAACGCAGTGGTAACTCAGGCAGCAGTTTACCTGGCGAGGACGACATCGAACTGACAAGTCGGCGTGTAATTTCGGCATGAGGTCCGAGGGCCGTTCTGCTATATTTCGGGGCCTGGGACGCCCCTTGGTAGTGGAATATACACATCCGGCTCCGGAACAATTTTGTTTAACCATTCCATCCAATGATCCAAATTGGAAAATTTTGCATCATCCTTCAAGTTTTTGTTGGGCTTTTCAACCCCACAGCCTTGCCATATGACCCCAATATCTTCAGCCGCCCTCCAATCAGCTTCGTCAAGCTTCCGGGAGTTCAGTTCATCCATCACGACTTGCATTCTCCGCTCCCAGTGGTCGTCAATAAACGTGCCTACATCGGGACAGTTTGAATAGTCTTGTTCCAACTCTCGGAGAAGCTCCTCCAGATAAACAAGCTCTTCTTGTTGTTCTTCCACAATCTCTGTCGCATCTTCGTCATCTCGTTCATGAATTCCGGAACACTGTCCCAGTCGACAGCAGCTGTGACGAAGATCCAAGACAGTAAAGGTCAAATATCTCGATATCGACTTAACCATCCGGGTCTGTGCTGCAGCCTGTCCCTGGCCTCCCACAGCCCATGTCCAGAGTTCACAAAACCATCTAAAGTTCTGCTTGTAGTCGTGCAATGCGGAGAGTTGCTTGTTGCGGCTTGCTCTTTCCCAGGACAACACCCCATCTAGCAATATGATCAGGGAGCTGCAGCCGTTCAATGAACATGCACATCGACACTTGTCAACTATGTCGACCGATATTATGGCCTTTTTGATAAGATCAGGCAACTGGAATCCGAAATCGCCATCCTCAGCTAAGGCGTGACATAAATAAGCCGACAGTAGGTGCGCCGGCGTCCACAAAGCATGGTTGATTTCCCCAGGTTCTATGCGAGACAGAGGTTTTCCAAGCTGCGCCCCTTTGTCAACTAGCCATAAAACATGATACACAAGTTGTGACCTGTGCGATGTATCCTGGATGACAAAGCCGTTGAGCACACAGTTCCATAACTCGTAAAACCCGAAGGCCGAATCGAGACCAAGGTCTCTAAATCCCTGTTCCCATGCCCATGAAGCGATATGTTCATTTGCAATGTAGGAATGGAGGGGCCTGAAATTCCGATCTTCGCCATTATCGCTGTCGCAATGATAGACCTTCAGTGAGATAGGGACTGAAACCGAGTGTTCGTTGAGAGCCGTTTGGACGTGCCCGGCCGCTTCATCTAATATGTTTGGTAGATAGAGACCGAGTTGCTTGTTTTTCGCAGGAGAAAGGTGTTTCATGGCATATTCGGCCAATCTTCGACGTCTTTCTCTTAAGCGGAGAATGACTCTTTTCTGTAAACGCATCGCTGTGCCCCCGTTGTCCCTAGTACGTCGGGAGAAAACAGTGGATAAACACGAAGGGAGCATTGCGCAACCAGAACTTAATAAAGCCTCCAAGACATTGCAACCGTTGCACTCAAGGGAAGCTGAGCTGCAGCATTGCTCATGGAGCTTCGATTGGACACAATATTCGATAGGACGATAGCCTCGAGGTTCTGTGCAGTCGACTTTGTTCAGAAGCAGCGCGTCTGCGTGAAGCAGAATGATTTGAAGGATTTCCAGGTTCGCAGCACCTACCGCAATATGTACTGAGGTCTGGCCAAAACAATTTGTGCTGCGGATGCTTGACTTATCTTTCTTTAGAATCTCCAAGACGCCGCTCTTGTCTTGTCTCAGGATGCAAATTTGCAGGTCAGGAAAGTTCAGTGCTGCTTTGTCAGTTGACAGTAACATGAGAATTCATTTTTGAGTGAAGCCCACCTTCTGCTGTCATCGGAAAAGCCTTCATCATTTCCAGATGATGGATAGACCGTTCGAATAAACGAGGTTGGTAAGGGCTGTCGATATCCGTGTCGTGGCTTACGAGATTTCTTAATACTGCGTAGCCTGAGGTTGTTGCGGATAGCCAACCAGAAACCAAGGCCAAGGCCACGGGATGGCTTTATTCAGAACAGTGAGCAATGATAGTCTGCTCAGCCACTAATCCAGCTAGAGATAGCTGCCAAAGTAACTCACCCATTTGCGTCAAAATTGGGAACTGGAGAGACATGCAGAGACTGGACTGAATGAATCAGCCAAAGAGCTTGTTGACTGGTAACGGTACATTCGACGTCCATCCCTATGAACTTTGGTTGGTTGAATTAGCATTGGCATGCGTCAGCTCGAGAGTTTCGATGGGGACGAATCATATTATGAGTTGACCATACCTTCATTCTCTGAAGTAAGTAATACAGCAAGGTTTCTCCCCGCTCGTTTACGTCAGTTGGGAATGCTTTCTTTTGAAGGTAGCACCAGAGGAGGCGTCTCCATATGGCTTCCAACAGACGCCATCGACCTTCAGGCCCTAGGAAGTTCTGACTTTCAGGGGACGACAATACAGACTCTGCGAACCTCCCCAGTCGAAAAGGCAACGAACGATCGGAATCAACTACCTCATTGACATTGAGACACTGGTGAAGGCGCAACCCACTCCGTCCGCTTGTGATAGACCAGAAAAGGCGAACGGCTTTGCCGGTTATCGATTGTAACATAGGTATTGTAACCTCGAAAACCAGAGAACTTCGGTTCTCATTGTCCATGAATATTTCCATGGGGCAATCTCTCGAATGGCGAGTAAATCTTTGGTCTTTGGTCTTGAATTTCACAGGGCCCCATCGTATTTGATGGTTATTCCGCCGGCAGTAGTCCCTGCATGAACACCGCGTCGTGTTTCTTATCATGTGGCCTTCGAGATTGTAATGTTCTCGGCCAACTTCGTACTTGAGCATCCCTTCAGATGTGTTTGCAAAACCACGTAGACCATCACACAAGGCTTGCAGGTTTGATGGTCTCGCTACAAGCCGAGCACTTTCAAGATCCGCGGTCGTAAGGTGAAGCTCAGTTCGCCGAGCCATGTCAGTAAGAAGCTCTTCAAAATTTTCCAGGCGTCTGTCAACGTGAGAGATCTTTCGCTGGATGCTGAGAGTGTTGCGGTCGATGCGAGCCGTGATTTGATTCGTCTGCGACAAAATATCTGCTTGTTGAACCATCAGTTCAGTGGTGCTCGCCGCTCTTTCGTCGATCGTGGGAAGGATTCGATTGGAATTTACTGCCGACAGGCGAATATCCTGAACGTTTCTCGACACCTCGTGCATCTCGTTGCTAGTATCTCCTACAACTGTACGAATGATATCCACCGTAGACTTCACTGCGTCAAGTTCATCCTGACTGCCGGCGATGACTTCCCTAGAGTGATATGCTTTAGATGATGCTGGGCAACTACTGGAACCTGGGGCGGTCAACTCACAAGCCCAAGGCCTGCATTGCTGTTTGGAGAACCACAATCGCTGAACCTAGTTTCTTCTCAAGTTCGATCATGGTTTCCCGATGAAAAGGGAAAGCTAGCTTTCTCCCCTTTTCTAGAAACCTTCCAGATATCGTGCTGATGGGCGCAGATGGTCCCTGCAGCCGCATGACCAATGCTTCCAGGGCGACAAGCTCGCTTTGGCAACTTGCCAGGGTCGCGTCGAGTGGGTCGCTGGATGCCAAATTGCGAAAGGAGGGTTTGGATGTCGCAACAGAGATAGCGTCGATGCAGCGCTTCAAATTGTCGCCCAATCGCCTTGCAGAGTCGAGTTCTCGCTGTCTCCCCTTGACAGCTTCCAGATACTTGGAGATTGCGCCATACACCTGGAGCCCCTGGGATATCAGACCGGCAGTCGTACCGAGAATTCCTGCCACCTCAGCCATGTTTACAAGGCGGTCGCCGATGGTTGATGCGCCAGTCAGACTGGATGATATCGGACGGGAAGCGAGAGAAAACAATGGCGGCGGAGCTTCTTTTGTGTCGGAGGCTGCAGAAATAACAACTTGCAGCACCATGCCAGTGCATAGCTCATACGTCATTATGGATTCCGTGTCTGTCTTTGAAATAGCTATATGGATCCCCATTGGTTCTGACTCTAGGCTGATTCAACAAGCCGCCAGCAAGGCACTGCAACTGAGACATCGTATACTTGGCGGCAGAAGCTTCCTGCTCATTGTCTCAAAGTCCGGCCAAATTACGACAAAATCAATGTGTCTCTGTAATCGCATCCGGTTGAGAGCTGCCGAGCCAAGAGCACAGCCAAGTGAAAAAGAGCTGCGCCAAAGAGGTCCTCGAATTAGCAGGACGTAACTTCATCGGGAAACAACTCATAGGTATTCTCAACAGCATTCAATGTTCCCTTCTATTGCGGCCAATTGATTGCCACCGCCAGATCGTGATACTTCAGTTGCAATAGGTATATTTTTGTTCTTCATCAGGCATTTCGTTTCGGAGAAATAATTCCGTTCAATTTGTACAAACGCTATATTTGCACGCGGTATTCCAAAGACTAGGTATCTTGACACAATGAACATACAATCGACGCCTCGATCAGGAGCCTTCGAGCAGATACGCAAACTCATATTTTTTAAGTCCTTCCTACGGGACATCGAATGGTGTCCTCATGTAAAAAGCTGCCCTCCCGTCAGTTAGATTTCCATAGAAAAGAAGTATATAGTTGCTAATCGGCTCTATTCAGATACCTGTCAATAAGGACTGAAAACATGAGATGCGGCGATATATCAACCAAGATATCTTTACATGACATCTCGTCGCATCACACCAACATATTTCTCTCTACGCGTGCAGTAGAAAAGTCCACGGAAACAAAATTCGCACTTTGCACCCCCCCCCAAAACTTTGGTATCCGCCCTCACTTTAATCCGAAAGCCAGACAACGCTCCTCCCCGCCGCAGAGTACCGCGCGTACAAGTGATTGAATGCTGACGTGTGTTTTTCGTCGCGCAAGCTAAGGCGCCCCGTGCAGGAGAAGCCTACTTTTTTCGTCGCGTCTGGCGAATCAGCTGTTGCGACAAGTGAGGGGTTAACGTGACACAGGCGCAGCTTGGCGGCAGTCCTCTTTTTTCTGCTGCTTCTCCTCTTCTCTGAGGTTGACAGGATTTGAGGACTGCCTAGTGCGTTTAGGCAGCATTGCGAAGGTGGAATGTGGTCAGGTTGGGCTTGTCGGCGCGGGGTTGAACTTTGCTGCTTGGCTTTTCGGGGGCTAGAAGGCACGCAAGGTGAAGATGGCTACGTTTTCTGGACGGTGAGATAGTGGACTTGAAATCTGTCAATATGACGGTTAATGTGAGATGCATTCGTGTTGTCTGCTTATGAGCATCTTGTATTCGAGTTGCCAATTTGCCGTGTCCTTTACTTTCATCCCAGCCAGCTTTAACGCCGTCGTTTCCGCCGTGGAGCTTCAAATCATCATCCTTCACCCCCTGGCCCCTTATGGCAAATTCCCTAATGGCATTTAGGCGTCGTGTGTGATCTTAATAGTACCTTATGTAGACAGTAGTGGTGAGTGTTTTTAGCACGCAGACTCCTAGGCCGCGAGCATTTGGGTAGTTCCATCTTCGTAAACCTTGACGCGAGGTTTCTGTAGAGCACAGGTCAATATTGGAAACTCGTAAAGTATCACCAGGGGGGGTGAGCCTACAGTATCAATGTCGTGATAGCCCTGGAAGCGACACGAGCTATGTTCGCAATTTTTGAGCCATCGACAATGGTGTCCAAGCATGCAGTCGGCATTATCACAGCCTGACATGTCGTTGCACGGTATTCCCCGAGACTAAGGGTCATTAGCGGAGACCATTCATACTGTATATCGTGACAGGGGATCATCAAGACTCACCTTCTGCTTTAGCAGTGTCAATTCTCCCTGACTCAACTTTTCACCGTGGAGAAATGGGCACGCATCGCCATTCTTGCAGAATCCATGAAGATGAAAATTGTTGCAGAGGTTTTTACCAGACTTTGTCATGCGTTCCTTGAAGCGCTTCTCGACGTTCGGGTCGATACGCGGAAATTGCTCGTCAACGCGCTGACTCTCAACGTTGAGAAGATAGTACTTTTTAGGCGCAGGTTTCTTGGAAGAAATATCAATCGTCTTGCCGGTCGAGACCTTAGTAACGACAGACCAGGAGGTAGGTGTCTGCGCACCGCCGCTCGATGACTGCGGGCTCGCAACACGCTGGGGCTGGCTCTCGTTCGTGTTGCTTCTCAAAAGGGCGCCGCCATTTCCATTGCTCGTAGGGACGTGCACCGGGGGCGGCAGCGGTTGCATGCCGGCAGTGGGAGGCGACGCAACGGCAGAAACGCTTGACACACTGGATACACTGGGGCGCTCGACGCGATCGGGGAGTTTTTCGGATCTGAAGACCGACTTGAACGAAATTCGATGAAAATTGAGATGTTTAAAGCCCTCCTCGGCAGGAGTGGTCTCGATAAGCGTCAGACGCGGGTAAACCTTAGGGTCTAGCTTATATGGCTCGAGAACGGGAAGATATCCGTTATCGTGGCAGGGACCGAAGAAAATGTGCTTGCACTGATTGATGCGAACCATGAGGCGCAAAGTTTCGCGAATTTTGTGATCGGCGGACTCCTTGCCAGAGCCGACGTCAATGAAGCTGAACAAGGGCTGGGCACGGCCAAAGCCACGTCCAAAGTCGGACAAAGTGCGCTCAGCAGCAGTATTGGAAATAATGCCACAAGCGTGGAGCTTCTTAGCCAGACCGTCGAGATTTAGCACGATCTGAACCATGACGCTCCAGTCCTGACTGGCTGCCTGGGGATAGGCCTCGCTAACGTAGTTCATAATTTCGTTGTGGAGGAGGTACCCGGCTTGAGAGCCTCCATCGGCACCGGCCTTGAGGAGCATGTCTTGAAAAACTGCCCCGTCTCCATCAATAATAACAAAAACGAAAGGATTAGATTCCTGCGGTCGGTCAGTAATCGTTTGCGTGGCAGGAGGTGACCGAAGCCCACCGTCGTTTTGAGACTCTTGCTTAGTGCCTGCATTTCTCTATCGTAGGTTCCTGCCTTGGTCTGCCACATTCGGCGGGACTCGACTTCATTACTGTAGTCGTCGCATTTTTCCTGATATGCACGTTGAAGGTGTTCATATCGCGTAAGAATTTCCTGTGATTCCGAGAGTCAGATATCGGATCATGTGATTTGGAGGCAGCAGCCGTCGCCACCGTTGCCGTTTTGACGGCATCTGAAGTTGCTTTTGTGACAAGAAAGCATGATCTGCTTCAATTTCAGAGAATCATCGGGCCACTCACTCCTATCATTTGATCGCGGGCATGATCCTGATGCCGGAAAAGTTCGAGTTGTCGCACATATTGGGTGAGGTCGTTAGCACCGTCCATGATGGCGGCGTCGTCTCGTATAATGCTAGTCCGCGTCGACAAAAACACTATCTCGATTGTCGATCGACGGTGTGGGCGATTGATGCTGAGATACCTCGATTTCTGACGGCGATTGAGAAAAACAAAGGTGAGATGCAGAGATGAGGTTGCGAAGGTTTTGAAGTTCGGACGGCAAGACCCCATTACTTAAGCTCAGAGTGGGGTCGTATTCTGGGTTCTTCCTGCCTTTCAGGCCATTCAGAGCGTCGCTTTGCATTGTTCCGGGGGTAGCAAGCCCCCGGCGCGGCGCCTTCCCGGTAAAGGCGCCCATGGATTTCCAGCGGATTTTTAGCTGCCCCTGCCTGTTGTGTTTGTGCTTGCTAGGCGGAAGTCCTTAGCGGGCCAATCAAATTGCCGATTTTCCCTCTGTTTGCGCCAAAAGCGGGGGCCTGCAGGGACTGCCATCGCTCACCCCAACGTGGCACGCATTCTTTTGATAAACTGTGCCGCTTTGTCTGACTGGCCCATATTAGACATCCGAACGATCCTATCAATGGGACTTTGAATGGCGCTGATTTCGTAGATATAGCATTCATGTTCTGTTTTGTTTGAGAATGTGTCCGTTTGCAAGTATTTTCCAGAACTTTCTGAACAACGTCGCAGCTCAGACTCCCAGTTGGTCTGAACTCATGGAACCTGACAAAGTCTGAAACCATTCGAGGGAAACCGATTGACACAAACAAGCATAGTCTATATTTGTAATTATTTATTACTGTGTTTGCTGTTAAAAATCATAGTATGAGCCCTTGAAAGCGGCACGGATGAGGCGTTCACGATGTTTGTTGAGAGAATTTAGACAATATAGTAAGTAAATGTATTACTGTTGTGTGATGAAATCATGCTGGCTCGTACGTAACATTTAAAATAACTTCAATCAAAGCTTTTAACAAACACTATGGTCTCCTTTCATGCATTGGTCGGGAGTTTGATGTTTGAAAAGCAATTGCCTTCGAGTTACTGCTTATGTATTACCAACGCATATTACGGAAAATGCATGCATTACACTGGAAAGTGTTATTCACTTGAGGATCATTTAACACATACACCATCAAAGCATGAACTTCAGACCAGCTTAATAGGTGATTCACTGCCAATGAACACAGCGCCAGGCGATGAGAAAAAAGCCTGGGACACCTTTGTTGGCTCTGATTCACTCACGATACGCTTGGAAAAGAGCAAGCAAGACAAGACCGTGGTGATTCACCGCAGACTAAGAAATGGCATATAACTGGGAAACATTGCCACTGATCGTTGAGATCTTCTGGGCCACTATTAACCACAAACATCCACACGAATCATCTCCGTCTTCAGTGGCGCACTTGAGAAACCAGAATCAGTGCCTGTCTACAATACATTCTCAACACTTCATCATCATCAATTCCTCATCCATCTTTGACTGTCTCATCATGTGTTTCGGATCTGGCGACCGACCGAGAAGGAAACTGCAAAAACGGCCTCGCAGACGGAACTCCCTTGGCTACTTTTAGAAAGCCGATGGTCTTGGACGACTGAGATATCAACGGGGACAAGTTCAAGGTGGTGGAACGTCGAAGGAATGATTGGCATCCATTTCTGAAGTAGTCACAGAAACTCAAAAGACGCCCGTTGACTTACTTCTATTCTGCAACTTAATTGTCCGACTCTAGGCCGCTGTGTGTGGTTGTCTACTATGAGGCAAACGAGAGAACTGTAGGACCACAGCAATCCAAGTTTTCCAAACTGCTCATGTTACAAGAAAATAGAAGAAGTATGAAATTGAGGGTGCTGAGGAACATTTTTGCTTCGGAGGAAGTAAAGACCGCTTTTTCTGCACCCGCAAGCGTCAGTAAGTGACGTCTGAACGACACAATTCACCATCAGATGTCCACGGAACGCGTTCCATGTCCGATGTTCTCCACCCGAAAAGCTTGATTAAACGCGAAAACGAAGATGCACGACTTATTTGTCCCACTGAGTGCCGTATCCGAATCTCATTCGAGAAATCTTACGTTGAAACCCGCAGGTCCGGGCCGGGAAGACCCACTTCGGAACACTATGACGCCAGTGACCGGAACTGCGCGATCGTCGGCGGAGGTAAGACACCATTCCCATTGGTCAGACTCATCAACTTGGGAAAGTCGCGGAGATAATGCACACTTCCCATTGGAAGAGTCCATCATATCCGGAAGCTCGGGGCTGATCGCCACTGCACAACTGGAGATCCCGCCCATCGGACCATCCAAGCGGCTCCATTCTTTCAGCCTTAAGTCTTGGAATAGACGGGTCCAGACTGACACAGAGCTACCCCTCTCACCAGCTTCAGACGTCATGTTCTTCCGGAAGACAGCGGGATGCGCGGAGGCTGCTCCAGCTCCGTGGAAACCACGGCTCTTCATCAACGTCGATATGGGATGAGGTCGAGTATAAGAATCGTCGACGATGACCCCGAAAGACAGAAATTCTCTTCGCCATCATCAACACAAATCACAAACACTCAAACAACTCTCAACAACAACTTCAACTCATCTACACAACACCCTTCACTTAACCACAAACCACCCAAACCATCGAAATGCTCGGCAAGATCGCACTCGAAGAGGCCTACGAGATGGCCGGCATGGAAGCCAAGTCCCGCCGCGAAGCCGCCCTCTACATCAACCCCAACGACCGCACCCGCTACATGCGCCAGATCAGCGACGTCAACGACGAGCGCGTCAAGCTCGCCGACGACCACGGCATCGGCTACACCATCATCTCCCTCACCGTCCCGGGCATCCAGGGCATCGCCGACCAGGCCGAGGCCGAGCGCCGTGCCACCGAGGTCAACAACTGGGCCCACGACCAGATCAAGGCGCGCCCCGACAAGCTCGGCGCCTTTGCCTGTCTCTCGATGCACGACCCCGCGCAGGCCGGCCGCGAGCTGACGCGCTGCGTCAAGGAGCTCGGCATGCACGGCGCGCTGCTCTGCGACTTCCAGCACGCGGGCCCCAACGGCGAGACGTACAAGTTCTACGACCAGCGCGAGTACGACGTCTTCTGGAAGGTTGTCTGCGAGCTGGATGTGCCGGTGTACATCCACCCCGCGGCGCCTGCGGATGTGATGTTCGACAAGTTGTACGCGGAGCGCAAGTACCTCATCGGCCCGCCGCTGTCCTTCGCTAACGGCGTCAACCTGCACCTCATGGGCATGATCTCCAACGGCGTCTTCGACCGCTTCCCGAACCTGAAGATCATCGTCGGCCACCTGGGAGAGCACTTGCCACTAGACTTCTGGCGCATCAACCATTGGTTCGAGGATGTGAAGAAGCCCATCGCCAAGGATGAGGGCAACGAGGACAACATGTGCAAGAAGACCATTTACGACTACTTCAAGCAGAACATCTGGGTCACCACCAGCGGTCACTTCTCCACGCACACGCTCAAGTACGTCGTCGACGAGATTGGCGCTGATCGTGTGCTTTTCAGTGTTGACTACCCCTACGAGACGATCGAGAACTGCTCCGCTTGGTGGGACGGCAAGGCCGACGAGGTCAAGGAGGCAGTTGGTGGTGTGGAGAACTACCGCAAGATTGGAAGGGACAATGCGAAGAAGCTGCTGAAGCTTGGTAGCTTCCACGACTCTGAGGCCCCTGTCTCTTAGAGAGAATTTGATGTATTAGACTTTGTCTCAACAAGCTGAATTAATAGCGCGCGCAGATGGCCTCTGGCCACTTACTGTGATTTTTACTTGGAACCTGTACTGCAACGACCTCCGACTTGCCCTTTCAGCTAACGGCCTACTGGTCACGTGATTATCGCCGTCTCTTTAGTCCTATTTCCCCCCACGCGCGCAGCGACGTACGCTATTATTAATAATCTTATTACTTTTAATATTATTTCAATAATAACTTCACAACTTTAACTTAGTTTAATTACTATAGACTTTCTTTAACTTTTTAACCTTTCTTCTAACTCTTATATATACTTTCTATTATTAGACTTAGCTATCTTCTTTACAGCTTATACTTTCTATAATTATTAATAATATCCTTAATTTAGGTTTAATTAACTTACTAGCTATAGCCTTATTAAGGATATTATTAAAGTATATATAATAGCTAGGATTAGTAGTAAATATAGCTACTTCTTCTAGTAAGATTTACTATAGTAAATAGGTATAAGCTATAGCTATAATATTAGCTTTTAAGACTATAAAGTAAGATATAGCTATAGTTATTCTATCTATTAGGCTTTATATATTAAAAAGTATTATTTTACTAATTATAGTAAAGCTAGCTTTATAGTTAGTATTAATTCTAGTATCTTAAGGTATACCTTAAGTAAAGCTCTATATATTATAACCTAAAAATAAGGATAATAGCTGAATAACCTACTTAAGCATTAGGCAGCTATAGTAGGGCATTTATACTATAAGATTATAAGAACAACAGGGACTTACTCAGAAATAGAAGAACTATAGTATAAGTTATATAACAATAAAATAATAATTATTAAGGATCAGAATAATCTAATATAACTTAAGAACTAAGTAATTATTCTAAGTTAGAATAATCTAACTTAACTTAAAGTATAAAAGGATATATTTAGAGTTAGACTTATATATAGTATAACTTAAGCTTAGCTTATAGTTAGACTTCTATAGCTCTTTAGTAATTAACTTATAAATATCTTTATATTTATCCTTAAGATACTTTTAGCTTACTTTTACTATAAATACTTATTAAGTCTAAGACTAATCACCTTAGCCTCTAACTATTAATCTATAATATAGCTTATAACCTATAACTTAGACTACAACCTTAGTATACTATTACTATATATTAATCCCTAGCTTCTATTAGCAGACCTTACTATTAGATAGCTAACTATAACACTATAGTATAAAGCTTTATAGATTAAGTAGGATAGAATATATTATAAAGGAATCTAAGTAGTTTATTTATAAGAATCTAGGTAGTTTATATAATAAAGAATAAGCTTATAGTTTAGTATAAGTAGCGTTTTAAGTATATAGCTAAGATAAGCTTTTATATAGCTAACTTTATAAAGCTATCTCTAGTATATAACTTAATTAAGTTATATAAGTAAAGCTATTAACCTTATTAGTAATAAAGCTATTATTAATATAATACTAAGAGCTATAATAGTATAGCAGCTATAGTTAGGTTTAGCGTAAGTAGTTATTCTAAGCCCTTAGGTACGTATTGCGATCTTCTTACTGGACGAAGCACCGGCTGAAGTGCTCTTACTGGATTTATCTACTGTGAACCCTCTTATAGGGTGGGCTATGAAACTTCCTCAACATAGCGCGCGCAGATAGCAAAGCATTATTACTTGATTAGAAGTCTTGATCTCCTGCTGTGAAGTGTCGTCATTAGAAGCTTGACCAGTTGCCAAAATCTATGCCCTGCATATTGAACCAACTCTCATTGAGGAGGTCCGAACTGAGGAAGTCGCCAAAGTCCTGAGCCATTGGTGTTTGACTCATGCCAGGCATGGAGCTGAAAGGCAGCTGTAAGTCACCCTGGGTCTGCTCTTGAAGCCCCTCAGGTTGGGAAGTCTGAGAAACAGTCGCATTTGAACCCGCTGGTGCATCCTGTCTTGACACAGCAGCAACCGAGTTCTGGAAGCGTTGCAGAACCTCAATGCCCCTTGTAGCTGACGTCACATGTTTCTTGTGAAAATCGAATATCCGAAGCGCGCGATCCCACGATGTCTTTGTCGGTTCGGTGTCAAAGCTGATATTAAGATCAGGGCATAAAGTGGCTACAACCAAAGTGGATGCTGCAGCGAAGGTGACTATCATATCCGTTAGTAGTTGTACCAGGTTGTTTGAATTGAGACGGAAGTAGCTTACATAGCAATACGTGCCATGCTGAATTTTGGCGCACACTACCCAGCTTTTCGTACATTTCTTGGAGGACGCCATGGGCTGTAGAGACACAGAGGGTGTTTGCAGCATGGCCAAAGCTCTCGCTCAGCGCTGATGAATTGGGCAGATCTCTCCTGGACTGGGCGGTCTGCTTGGCTTCTACTAAGAGCAAAGGGCGCAGGAGCAGAAGTCTAATCCAAAGGACTCTGGGTTTCACGTTAGTCTCCACCGTAATGAGTGACATGATAATGTGTGCTGCTACCTTGACTTCAGGATATTCGCCTGCATCTGCAAGCTTCCTTTGAGACTCTCATCATACTGGGGCAGGCTCGCACCTTCTCTGAGATAGACTGGAAACGCGTCGTTCAACTCGTCTAGCTTTGCCGAGAGCTGAAGTACGTCGCTGAGAGATCGCGACTTCAGGTCTGAAGAACAGTCCCCTTCGCCGTAAAATTTGGCTAGAATTTCTTTCAGAACGTCGAATAGGGCTAGAGAGTGCACGAAGCAAGCCAGATACGACGGTCTTCCTGCTACTTGGGTGCCTTCGGTAGTGTCTGATAAGTACTCGTCATCAATTATGGCTGGAGCCGGTGTCGAATACTGTCTCGACAATAAGACGGATCGCCCGAATGTAGTTGCAGTAAGCCTGACATTCTGCATTAGCTCTGAGCACGGTGGAGGAAGGATAGTAGACCGGTTTACCTATCCAAAGTCAGACAGCAATACCAAACGCGCCGCTTCATCTCGCGTTTGAGCTGATTTGCTGCGATCGTTCTATCTCCTTCATTTTGCAATCCTAGCCCCTGGGCTACTCTCACTGCGACGCCAACAGTATTCCAGCAACGGTCAGCGTACGATGTATAGTGCAGGTAGACGCCTCTCAGAAGCAGCAACTGAACGACTTGCAATGAAGAGTGGTCGAGGGTGTCTACCGATACGAGCTTCACAGACTGCTTGTAGAACTTGTCAGCGAGGTTCGCCTGCTCTGCTGCTGACACCTGATCGGTTCGTTGCGATCCCAGCGCAAGCACAATGCTTAGAGTCGAGTGGAACACAACATCTTTGAAACCCCGCTTATGGTTTCGATCTTTTGTTGGCTTCCAAAGGGCTTCGTATGATGCAATGAAGGACGGCTTGTGCAGAATTGGGAAGACCGGGTGCACGAACTCCCAGAAGGACTCCATCAAGCTGTCTGCGAGCCATCTTTCGGGCAGCATCACCGGCTCAGGGAGGGGGTCCGGGCTCTTTGGTTGGACTGTAGAGAAGCCAAGGACGTTAGGCGTGCTCTCGGTCTCGTTTCCGGGACCGTTTGGGCCCGAGTCATCTGGCTTCTGCGCATCCGCGGCAAGAGTGACTTGTCGGAGAAATGATATGTTTGAAGAGGGGCCGTAGATGGTCTCATCCTCGTTGTGGGACGTCGATCCATTCCGTTGATGATGGCTTGCCGGCATGCCTTCAACAACCCTTGGCCGGAGTCCCGGGCCTGTGTCGCCAAGACCAGTCTCAACTCCGATACCAATTGACCGAGCCGGAGCGATTCCGGAAACTCCGGAAGCTCCGGAATCCGGCAAAGGCGCACTGCCACTCGGAGGTACAGATGTCTGGGGAAGAGGCGATCCCTCAAGTCTCTCCAACCTCTTTTGTATTTCTGAGATTGTCCTTATTCATGATCAGCATCATCAATGAGCTGGAGAGATTTGACACGTACGGCCTCGAAGATGCGTGCAGCACCGACTCCTGATAGGTGCACTGCTGCTGCATCCCCTTTTTCTGGCACGCCGTGCACACCGGACGCGTCCCGTCGCAGCCGGACTTTCGAGCCCGACACGGGTTGCATGCGAGCTGTGTCTTCCGGCGCTTTCGGGGCGGCACCTGCACCGAGTACATGGTTGGTCGTGTCTACCTCTTGGCAATGAGGATGCGAGGCATGGTTGGGGGGATCAGCAGTTCAATTGCCGACGAACCACGTCCGGAACGTGGAGAAGGGAGACCTCTCGGGCCCACATTTGTTTGTGCTGCACCGGAACTCGGCACTGATGAGATGGCTTTCTTTCAGCCTGAATTGTTATCATCCATGGATCTTTTTCGATCTCTGATCACAACTGGCCCGGAAATCTCGTCGTATCAAGCAATTGCATTTTCCGAATAATTTGACTCGCGTGTTGATGTGCGAACTACTCTGACGTCACATCCGAGCTGACAAGGGTTCCGAACCTCTTCTCCAACTCGCGGCGGGGAACATCAGACGTCATTGCAAGACGGCCAGACCGGGAACCTGAGTCGGTGGCTAGACTTGCTCAATCCAAACAGGAACCGGCGCTTCGTTTATCCCAGAATCCCAGCAACCGCGTTCCTGGTAAGAACCCCGCGCGAAGGAGCAACTGACATTTGCAGAGATCCGCTCGCGATGCCACCCACGTGCGGAGAAATACCACAACCGACGCGGAGAATTGCATCTACCCTCCCAATTGCGCCTGTCAACTAGCCCGCCCCGAGCACATGAGTGAAGAGCCCTCTCCACTTTCTTGACGAAGAAGCGGGCTTCGGCGCCGTTGACCGAGGTTCTGGTGACCAATCGCCCCCGTAACTACCACGTCCCCTCCTACGTGGTTAAAATTCCCGGTTGCCATTGGTCTCTAGCACTTTTCGGCTAAAGACTTCCTCTTCAACGACAAATCTCCACAGTGTAGTGATCGTCGGCCACGGCGCCGGTGACCGAAAAGAGACCCAGCCACGTGGAAAAGACTTGAATCTGCGAGGAAGTTTGAAGCTCAACGTGCGGAGTAACGGGGTAGCGGACTAGAGAGCGGCAGTTTGGAGCGTATCCACAGTTGTTGACAGGCAAGCGATGACTTCAAGATGGGGGAATACAAAAAGGGCGCCATCGCGCTTCCGTTGAAACATGTTTCCGGTTCCCGGAGTAGGTCACGTTGGATCTCGGTCATCTACATCATGTTGTCCGCTCTAGCACTCGCTTCCTGGTTCTTGCCGGCTTCAATCGCGGCGCCCTCTACCGGAAGCCCCAATTGCGAGTCTCTTGCGGAACAGGTGAAGGATTCGGTGCCAGGGTTGACGTCGGTTACCTCCGCTCTAGTACCTGCGAATAGCCTGAACATCTCTTCGGTCTTCAACTCCGCGTCGTTCTGTCGATTCAATGGCACTGTTCCGTACCCAGAGAACAACACGGTTCTCTTTGAGGTCTGGTTGCCTGAGACCGCATCTTACAATGGAAGATTCCTTGCCGTCGGTAAGTCAATCAAGAGACCACGATGAGGGCCAAAGGCTCTAACGTGAGATAGGCAACGGAGGATTGGCTGGCACGATTGACTATGCGGCAATGGTAGAGAACCTTAACAAGGGATTTGCTACAGCGGGAGGTGACAGCGGACACCGTGCGGCCGATAACAACGGTGGTGATGCTTACCCCGGCGGCATCTACCTGCCATTCCTGCATGACCAGAACCAGGTTCTCGCGTGGATTAGAAACTCGATTGCGCTCTTCACTGCCCCGGCAAAGCAGATCGCCAGCCTGTACTATGCTGAGCCCCCGTCACATGCCTATTACAAAGGCTGCTCGACTGGAGGCGCTCAAGGTTTCGCACTGGCTGAGTACCACCCTGAGTTATTCGACGGCATCGTCGCTGGGTGCCCTGGAAACTGGTACTCTCACCTCGCTCTATCATTCTTGTGGAACCAGCAGGTGTCTTTGGTAAGTATCTAGTGCAGACCAGTCAGCCAAACTTGACTCACTCTTCTCAGGACTCGGCTTTCATTCCCCAGGAAGCGCTCACCTTCATCCGCGACTCCATCCTCGACAAGTGCGACACCCTAGATGGCGTCGCCGATCGCGTCATTGAGAACCCTCTGGCCTGCTCCTTCGACCTCTCCACGCTCGCCTGCACCTCCTCCTCGACCAATACATCAACCTGCCTCACCCCAGCTCAGATTACTGCTGCCGAGCAAATCTACGCCGGCCCGCGTCACTCTCAGACCAACGCCAGCCTGTATCCCGGCTTCGACCTAGGCAGCGAGTCGGAGTGGATCAACCAAGAAGGCCGTCTGTCCCTCTCCTTCTCGCTCCCTCTGCTGCAGAACATGGTCTTTGACGATCTGAGCTACAACGGCAGCACGTTCGACTGGGCTAGCGATGTTCAAGCGCTGGATGAGAAGGTCGGGAGCTTGATTGACTCGATCAGCACCAATCTGACAGCGTTTAAGGCGCACGGGGCCAAGTTGATTGTTACCCAGGGTTGGGCTGATCCGTACAATGCTGCGACGTGGCCGATTCAGCATTTGGAGGATGTGGAGAAGGTTACTGGTGACAGGAAGGATTGGGCATCGTTGTTTATGGTTCCTGGTAAGTTTCGCGTGTTCAAGCCGGAGAGTGGATAAAACTAATACTTGCGCAGGAGGCGGTCACTGTGGCGGCGCTTCGTCGTATCCTCAAGTTCCCAGCAAGCAGAGTTCGCTGGAAGCGCTGATTGAGTGGGTGGAGAAGGGGGCAGCACCGACTGAGTTGCTTGGAAGCGAGCCGGCAGATGGAAGCAGCAGGACGAGGAAGCTTTGCCCCTGGCCACAGACGGCAAAGCTGGTTGGAACAAATGCTGATGACTCGGGGTCATATATCTGTTCATAGGCTGGAAATGGCCGCTAGCAGTGAATATTATACAATGTCTATATCCTGTAACTCACTTTCATCCTCCGGCCATAACTCGCCCTTCATCATCCCAGTGACAACTGCCGGCCCCACGAGTGTGTACTCTCCATTGTCACCATGCGGTCTGAGAACAAACGGGTGCTGTAGCCCAGCTATCAAGAATATCTCGTCGCCCTCTAATATCCGTGGAACACCTAAGCCGGCTCGTCCATCAGTTGTGGTGAACATGCGTCCTTCGCCCATGTCGAAGTTAAGTCGGTGTCTGAGGTTTCCATCCCCACGGAAAATCTCGAGTAGATCCCGAAAGGTAGCCTTTGGCGCGAGAGATGGCACTTTGTCCGGCCGGATATCTGCCATTTCTATGACGCTCCGCATCAACTCGAGAATTACATTTACCATCTTGATCTCTGCTTGGGGATTTGGTTCAAGCTTCCGACGAACACTATCGGTGAAACTCTCCATCAGTCTCATGAAAGGATGTTCATACGTTTCGGTCCCTGAAAAGCTTCCCGCGTCATTTTCGTCGGAATCTAGATGACTCTCCTCTGCGCTGACCGCTTTCGCTATCAGATGAGGGTTAAGTGTTGGATCGAAGTCACTGATGGGATCCCCTATTAGGCCAACACTTCTTCCCAGAACGCGGAGGCTAATGCCGGGCTCGGGGAAGAAGATTCGAGGATAGCTTCCACGCGAGGCATGGGAAGACTGTTTATATTGATCCATATGCGCCCCACGGTAGCCTTCATGAAATTCCTTTGTGCCGAAGTCAAATGACCACGATGGCATCAAGCCAGTTCCAGTACCCGGAGACGTCCTCTCCAGACTAGCAAAGTATAACAAATAGAGACTGTTAGTTTCTTTGAAGACAACCATAGAGGTTTCTGCAAAAAGGTCCTGCAAAGGTCGCTCATAGTCGACGGCAACCTTTGCAAACACTTCGGCAGATAAAGCGCGAAGCCCGAATATTTTGTCCCTTGGCTCTGAAGCTTGTAACGCTAAAATTGACAAGAAACCACTGGGGTAACTGATAGCATCGGGGCGATAGTGTCCGAATGCTCTGCGCTCTGCGTAGAGGCGATGGTGTGACGTGTATGCTCCCTGTATGCGGCCAGTAAGGTAAATCATGCTTATCATGCCAGCGCAGGAGATTATATTTGAACTCTGGCAGAGCAAAGAAACATGAGTATTGGCGAACTCTTGAGCGGTCCAAACACGTGTCCAGTAGGGATTATGTAGTATAGTGTGGATTGTGCTTTTATCACAGCCTTTCATCATGTCAGATATGAGCGCAAACAGCATGAGACTTTTACGAAAATTATCTCACAATCAAAAGCAATGTCTGCAACCCGTTTCTCTAGTCGTTTAACTGAAGGTTTGAACCATCTGAGGGCTTTCGAGCTCTCTGTCCAGTAGAAGAAATCACTCAGACGTCCGATATGGACATCTGGTAATAAAGCACACGACAAAGAGCAAAAGACTGTGCTTGATTTTGAGGGTGAGTCTCGTTCTCCAAGCCAAACTACCACTCTCTTAGCTTGGTTGAAAATTTCGGCCATCATCACAACCTGACTACTCTTGTCATCGTTTGAGTCTTGATTAATACAGATGGCATCTACCCATAACGTTAGGCTTCTACGCCTGTTGACATGGATGCGTCGATGAAAGGACTTCCGAAACACTCTGAGAGCGGCTGCACAGTTAGGCGTGATGAGGAGTTGGGGCCCTCCCGCTTGGCTGGTGTCGGCTTGCCCGTTGCCAATGGTGAGTGGCTCACTGGGCGTCTCGCCGTTCCATGTGTAAGAAAGAGCAAGGTAGTCCGGCGGCTTGTCCAGGTCGATCTCGACGAGGTCGCAGCTGAGTGGGCATGAGGGGTCTTTGGTCACCCCGGGATGCAGCCTGATCAATCGTGTGCATCTGGGACCCGATAAAGGCGGATACTGATAAGGATTCATGGTTTTGAGGATGGGAGAGCCCAACAGCAGCGTGAAGCTTCGAGAGAGAGGACAATACTGAAATCTTGAGAACGATGATGCATTTTTCGAGGCAGAACCTCGGGGTGGAGATGAGGTGAGATTTATCTGCGCGAGATGAGGGGTTCGGCAGCCATCTTATGGAGCAGGCTGGGCTGAGGAATGGATCATCTGCGCGCGGCGCAGTCGGCTTGGATGGTTACACAAGACCAATCATCGACCTGATCCGCCCTCGGCTATGCATCCGTAGAAGCAGGCTC